TATGCCACTAATAATTGTTTTTATCTTTAAATGCAGGTTAATGAAGAATAAATTCCAATAAAAATCTCATCTCTCATCAAAAGCCCTTGATTTAATAAAGAAATGAAGCAAAAGAGAAATCAAGAAGCCCATTGGAAAATCAAATTGCCAATTTATCCAAAAGTCCAAAGAAAAAGAATCAAGCCATAAAGAAATGAAGCCAATGAAGCCAAATAAATTCTTTCAATATTTAATGAAGTGTTAAAGCGCAAAATGCCAAGAAAATTTCCAAGGCTCAAGCCCAAGAACAAACATAAGGTGGATCCTCGGACAACAACCAGGAAGGACTTCACATCGATGCCAGCATCGATGGGGGCATCGATGCTATCATCAATGATGCCAGCATCGATGCCCGTATCGATGCCAGCATCGATACGCCTATCGATGCTGGTATCGATACCGTCGTCATTCTGTTACGAATCTAAGACTAAAATTTATTGTTTTAGGATAAGATTTTAATCTAATGGCTCTCATTTATTGATGTTTACTATAAATAGGGGTAGAGAGTGAGGGGTTAAGGTGGTGAAAAATTTTATAACTCTATTTAGAGAGGAGGGTTACTCTTAATTAAGATGACCTTCCAAATTTATAACATTTGTTACAATTAATAAAAGAATTTTTCTCCACTTTAAAATTTTCTTTTCTTCTCTTTGTTGGATGATGATGATGGAGATGAAGAAAAGTTTGAAGGTTTGCATTTTTTTATTTTTCTCTTTTATTTCTTTTTACTAATTTTTTTATTACTGCTTATTAGTTAGATTTACATTCATGCTTGTAGTGTAGATTTATTTTCTTGTATTTTTATTTCCTTTTTGCACTTTAATTTATAGAGTAGATTTATTTTCTTGTTTATAGTTTAGATTTTTCTTTTCTTTTTATATTTGTAATTAGTTCTTTTTCTTCTTGTTTTTATTTCTTAAGATGTGAAATTAATTCTTGTAGGAATCTTAGAATTGTATGAAACTAGTCTAATCTCCTTTATATTATGCAAATTATTCTCTTACACTTAAAATGATCATGTATAGTATAATCAACTAGAGAACAAATTGATAGAAAAAAAATTTGATAATCTATATTTATCTTGAGTGGTTTGATAGGTTATACTTATGAATTCTAGGATTACTATCTTGTTGTTATTCTTATCATGAATCTAATTTTGCTTAGATGATAATTTGATTTGTTATACTTTCCTTAAATGATTTGATAGTCTATGCTTAATAAATCTAAAGTGAAATATGATAAAAAGAGAATAGTTTGTATTTTATAATTGAGATTAGCTAGTGGATTCAATTCTAGATTTCTCATATTGAATCCTCCATCTTTGTTTTCTTGATTTTTCTCTTTCTTGTTTTTTATTTTATTCTTTGATTCTTTCTTCTCTCCTTTAAAATTCATTTTATTGTCACTTGCATATATTCACAACAATCATTCCTCATATCTCTCCACAACTACAATTTTCATCACTCCTAATTGTCACGCACAAAACATAAGAACCGATTCTAATAATTTCTTACAAACTTCTTCCTCGTAGGATTGATAACTTTTTATACTATAACTTGATTAGTTGTGCACTGGTAACTTTTGGTACATATTTATGCCACACCACGAGCATACACGATGCCTTTCATATTTCGATGCTCAAGAAGCATTTGCGTGACGAAGAGCAGCAGAGAGTGATTGATTCACTAGAGATTGAGATCCAGGATGATTTGACTACAGTAGAGATTCCAGTATGCATTCTTGCTAGAGAGAATAAAAAACTTAGAAACAATGACATTCCTTTAGTGAAAGTCCAGTGGAACCGGCAAGGAGCCAAAGATATTTCTTGGAAGCGTGAGGAGGATGTACGTCGCGACTACCCACACATATTTGAACAGGTAATATGTTGATATTTTAAATATGCTCATATGCATTGATTGATGTGATTGTGTGTGCTGTTTAGACAAGTTTATACTTAATGCTAGAATGGGTCATTCAACATTTAGCTCTTAATTATTAGGAACATATGGTATATATCTGGGAGGTTCCTTATTTGGATTTTTTGCCCGACATACTATTTCTGTCTAATTAGGGTTAAGTGAGGATGCACGTATTCTAGATTTGTTAAGTTTAAACATGGCTTATGATTCATATCTAGGGATTAATGGTACGAGATGTGTACGGGAGGGTTTCCTTGTCTGGATTATCCCCTCTTAGTACTTTTCTCATATTATTAATTCCTAAGATACGACTGTGGAATTTCGAGGACAAAATTCTCTTAAGGGAGGGTGAATGTAAAACCCTAAAAATTTGTGATATATATATATATGATTGATCATGATATATGGATATTTATTTTGATAAATACAGTTAAATGGTATGTGAGTAGTATACCATGTGTTTTGAGTATAAATAAGTTCTTTCATGAGGAAGGAAAGAGTTGAAACATGCACAAAGGCCAAAATCATGAGAACTGGAAATTCCTAGTCCGGTCGACCGCGAGACCTGTAGAAAAATTTTCTCCTGTTTTGAGCTGGTTTCGGATTTCTAAAGCACATATTCGTTTTCTCTAATTTATATATCAAATTTTCACGAATTTCTCAGTTTTTCTAAGAACCCTAACATCCACCAAACCCCCACAAACCCTATTTTGATTCTTGGAGAATATTAGAGGCTTTCAAGTGGATTTTCGGGTGATTTTTGGCTTTTGGATTGGAGATCTGTTTTGGCTTGGCATCCTAAATGTTTTTCTACAAGTTTCAGGTGAGTTCATCTCTGCTAATCCCCCTCCTAGTTTTTAAAATGTTTTTAGAGGGTTTTTAACATGTTTATTAGAGCCAAATTGACTAGTTTATGAATAAAAGTCAATTCTTTTGTATAATATGTATAAAGACTGGGTCTTTCCATGTGAAAAGGTTTAAAAAAGAATTTACATAAGATATTTAAGATCCGAACATGATTTAAATGTTGTTTAATCTGATGAAATATGATTTGTGCTTTGTTTCAAGTTCATGTGCATGATTTAGGGTTTCAAATATGAATTCATGTAATTTATCATGTTATATACATTGTGTTGCTCCCAGAAGTTTTTATCTACTTTTTTCATGTTTCCATGCAAGATTCATATCGTTTTAATCATGTTTGAATCACCTAAACATGGCGTGAACACAACACACACAACCAGATTGAGAATTTGGAATTTCGTCTCACGGTCGACCGCGCCCTAGTAGTGGTCGACCGCGTGCAGGACAGAGGCCTGCATAGGCCCTAAAACCCATCGCGGTCGACCACCACGTAATTGCGGACCACGTAATTGCGGTCGACCGCCAAGTGTATTTTTGGCCTGTGCTTGTTTAAAATTGACCGTTGAGTTTTTGAGCAAGTTTCTCGACCTTGCACTATTATGATACGCTGTTTATAAGTTGTTTAACATCTGAGATGTTAGTAAACACCAGATAGGGACACGTACACTGAGATATGTACACATATGGTTAAAATATATTGTGTTAACATACTAAATATGAAAAGTATACAAATATTATGTTTTCGGGATAGGGAGATGCAACTTATTTCCGCAGGGCGATTGAGTAAAAGTATTACAAAAGTATCGTCATATTATATTTCCAGGATAGGGAGATTAAACCTATTTCCATAGGGTGATTGAGTAAAAGTATTACAAAAATATCGTCATATTATATTTCCGGGATAGGGAGAGGAAACCTATTTCCGCAGGGCGATTGAGTAAAAGTATTATAAAAGTATCGTCATATTATGTTTTTGGGATAGGGAGATGAAACCTATTTCCACAGGGTGATTGAGTAAGAGTATTACAAAAGTATCATCATATTATGTTTTCAGGATAGGGAGATAAAACCTATTTCCACAGAGTGATTGAGTAAGAATATTACAAGAGTATCGCTAATATATATAAGAGATGCACATTTGTAAGTAATATAAAGTATAATTTTGCTTTCATATTGAATAATCGTAAGTAGGGTGCTTTCTCTGAGACCGTGGCTTACACTACATGGTATGTGGTTGGTTTTTGTTTGGATGAGTTCTTTTTATGTCAAATCCGTCTACCCGAGTATAGATCAGGATGAGATATTTGTTCTACAGGTTTGAGGTTTGGAGTATTATCTTTTTGTTTGTTGTTTATCATTCATAGAGTTTGGAATTAGTATTTAGGGAGTCACAGTTTGAGACATGGTATATACATAAGAGTTTCCTTATTTGTATTATTTCGCTCGACATACTAATTCTCGTGTTGTGGATTCCTAAATACTAATCTCTAGTTAGATGTATATGAATGATTCTATATTTATGTACTCTCTATATTTTCTATACACTCCTACCCCTTCCCTTGGGAAAGGTGGAGATGTTCTCACTATAGCACTTTGACGCTCGTTGCTTTCCCCCTTTCAGGCAGCGAGTCCAGCGCATGGAGAGTCGCAGACTGATGGGACTTCTTCATAGATTCCATCTAGCTATTTCCTATTTTAGTAGTTATTTAGAACTCCACAGATAGTTGATTATGTCCAGACTCTAGATTTGTATTATATTTTGTAGAGGCTGAGAGCTGTAGTGATACTTTATTTGACTCAATGTATTTAAGGTTTATTTTAGACTCAGAGATATTTCTATTCTATTTTAGTTGGGCTCATTGATGAGTATTCTCTTATTGCTTCTGTGTTCAGAGATATTTCTATTCTATTTTAGTTGGGCTCATTGATGAGTATTCTCTTATTGCTTCTGTGTATGCTTGGCTTATTCTATTTCTTTTATTCTCATTGATGAGTATTCTCTTATTGCTTCTGTGTATGCTTGGCTTATTCTATTTCTTTTATTTGCATGTCAGTACTTTCACCTATTTGTTGTTTCAACTAGAGAGATAGTGACTGTGATTGTAAAACATATCGTAACATGGTGTTTGGTGCTTAGCAGGTTTGACATCCGGGTTTTGCCTTGGACTGCAGCCTCGCATGAAACCTGGGGCGTCACATGGGCCTCTTCTTCCTCAGAAGCAGTTTTATCAGGAATCGCAAAGGCAACAACCACCGCGTCAGATGTTTATGATGTTAGCTGTGGAAGCTGAGGCGAACGACCAGGTTATTACTGGTAAGAATTGTTCATTTTAGTTTAATTGCCTATGAATTTCCTTATTTAGCATTACATGATGATATCATAATAGGATTTATTTATGAGTGCTAAGTTTAGTTGCATTTATCTCCTCCTGTAATAGGCAAGGTTATTGTTTCTTCCGTTCCTGCTTTATCACTCTTTGACTCTGGAGCTGCCCATAGTTTCTTGTCTAGTCGATTTGCAAGTACCTACTCTTTTCCTATAACTCCTCTGACTACGGACTGGAATATAAATATTGGCAGTGATATTTTAGTAGCATCCAGTGGTTATGAAGCATGCCCGGTGGTCATCAGCGGGAGAGAGCTCTTTGCAGATTTTTTGGTGATTGATTTGTCGAGCTTTGATGTAGTATTTAGGATGGATTGGTTGGGGTCATTCTTTGCCACCATTGATTGTCGTCGTCGGAGTGTAGTATTTGAGATACCGGATCACCCGAGGTTTGAATTCCTCAGTAGCAGTACATCGGCTAGACCGGTAGAATATAGAGCTAGACCGGAGAAGGTGATGTTTGCTGCCATGCAGGTGGAACCCGAGAAGCCAATTGTAGTTCAGGAATTTGAAGATGTATTTCCTAATGACATTTACAGGTTGCCATCGGATTGAGCAATTGAGTTTTCCATAGAATTAAAGCCTAGAACTGCTCCGATCTCCAAGACTCCTTATCGTATGCCTCCGGCTGAGTTGACCGAGCTTCAGACTCATTTGGATGATCTTATGCAGAGAGGCTTGATACGACCCAGTGTATCAGCCTAGGGATCACCTGTGTTGCTTGTGGGTAAGAAGGATGGATCCAAGCGGATGTGCATCGACTACCAGGAGTTAAATGCTGTGACAGTAAAGAATAAGTATCCACTTCCCCATATTAATGATATCTTCGACCAATTAGGAGGATCGAGAGTATTTTCTAAGCTAGATCAGCGGAGTGGATACCAGGTGAAGGTCAAGGACTCTAATGTTCCCAAGACTGTGTTCCAGACGAGATATGGACCTTTTGAGTTCTTAGTGATGTTGTTTGGTGTGACTAATGCGCCAGCGACATTCATGAACCTGATGAATCTGGTGTTCTATGATGTGCTAGAAAAGTTTGTAGAAGTCTTTATTGCTGATATCCTGGTATACTCCAAGAGTGAAGCGGAGCATGCAGAGCACTTGTGGTATGTGTTGCAGACCCTAAGAGAGCATCGACTATTTGCCAAATATAGTAAGTGCCAGTTCTGGCTAGATCACATCGCGTTTCTAAGACACATGGTGTCAGGAGACGGCATATTTGTAGACCCGGAGAAGGTATCTGCTGTTAGAGATTATCCTACCCCTAGGACAGTATCTGGCATTAAGAGCTTCCTGGGGCTAGCTAGATATTACCTGTGCTTCATCAAGGATTTCTTAAAGATTGTAGAGCTGATGACGTGACTTACGAGGTAGGATATTAGATTTGTCTGGTCTGATGCTTGTGAGCAGGCGTTCGAGGAGTTGAAGGCTCGACTGATCTTAGCCCCGGTCTTGACAATACCAGATAAGAGTGGGAACTTTGAAGTGTTCTGTGATGCATCTGGTAGAGGATTAGGATGCATTCTCCAGCAGAACGGTCATGTGGTAGCATATGCATCTCGTCAGTTGAAGCAACATGAGAAGAATTACCTTACCCATGACCTGGAGTTGGCAGCTGTGGTTTTTGCTCTCAAGCATTGGAGACACTATTTGTTAGGAGAGCAGGTGAAGATGTTTACGGATCACAAGAGCTTGAAGTACATCTTCACTCAGAAGGAGCTCAACATGAGGCAACGCTTATGGTTAGAGCTGATGGCAAATTACGACATTGACCTTCAGTACCATCCTAGCAAGGTCAATGTAGTACCAGATACTTTGAGCCATTTACCGATGATCATGACCCTCACAGCTTAGTGGAGACTTCAACAGGAAGTGAGGGATATGAGTATAAAAGTTCTTCTTCCAGGAGTCACCGCTTCTTTGATGAATCTTCAGATTCAATCGACATTGGTTGAGCGAATCAAGGCTACACAAGTATGTGACTCATTTCTTCAGAAGTGTAGAGAGTTAGCAGTGGCTGGTCTTCGGCCGGAATTTATTGTTCATGAGGATGGATCCTTATGATTTGGGAGTCGTATCTGCATACTAGAATGAGATGTTCGAGAGGAGATATTACAGGAAGCTCACAGCTCATCGTACTCTATTCACCCTAGAGGTACGAAGATGTACAAGGATCTGAAGCTGAACTTTTGGTGGCGTGGCATGAAGAGAGATGTGGCTCGTAGTGTGGCTAAGTGCCTTGTATGTTAACAGGTGAAGGCAGAGTATCAGCGCATCGCAGCTCTTTTGCAGCCAGTGCCTATTCCGGAATGGAAGTGGTAGCATGTCACCATGGACTTTGTTACAGGCTTACCTCGGAGCACTAGACAGAATGATGTTGTTTGGGTGATCATAGATCGATTAACCAAATCGGCTCACTTCATTCCATTCCGAGTGGGACAGTCGATGGAGCATCTTGCTCAGAGATACATGGAGGTAAAATATCTATCTCTATATGTTTGATGAGTTCCTCTTTCCCAAGAGTGTTAGTAAATCTCTAGTATTGCAGGAGACCGTACGATTGCACGGGGTTCCAGTGTGCATCGTTTCGGATCGCGATACCTGATTTACCTTAGAGTTCTGGAAGAGTTTGCAGGCGAGTCTTAGGACCAGTCTTAGTTTCAGTACAGCTTATCATCCTCAGACCGATAGGCAGTCAGAGAGGACCATTCCAATTTTGGAGGATATGCTCAGAGCTTGTATGCTTGACTTCCACGGATCGTGAGAAGATCACTTGCATTTGGTGGAGTTTGCATACAATAATAGCTTCCAGGCTAGTATTGGAATGGCCCCTTTTGCAGCATTATATGGGAGGAAGTGTCGTTCTCTATTAAGTTGGGACGATATTGGTGAGCGGGAGATTTTTGGGACCGAATTGATTCCCAAGTCAATTGATGCGGTCAGGATCATTCGGGAGTGACGTCGCATAGCGTAGGACAGATTCAAGCATTGGGAGGATGCAAAGTGTCGACACTTGGAGTTTTAGCTAGGTGATCATGTGTTCCTAAAGATTTCCCCCAACCGAGGCATCATTCGCTTTGGAAGGCGTGGGAAGTTCAGTTCACGATATGTGGGACCTTTCGACGTATTTGGAAAGAGTTGGAGAAGTGGCGTACCGACTTGTATTACCACCCACATTGGCTGGAGTGCATGACATATTCCATGTTTCTCAGTTGTGAAGATATGTTGGAGATCCGAGTCATGTCATAGATTTCTCGGAGATTGAGTTGCAACCTGATTTGACAGACGAGAAGCAGCCTGTGGCGATACTGGACCAAAGAGAGAAGGCTCTCCGGAACAAGACCCGTCATGCTTGTTCGTGTGATGTGACACCCAGATTCTCCTAGCGAGTTGACTTGGGAGACTAAGCCTAAGATGTGACAGCGATACCCTCATCTCTTCTTGAATCTTAGCTGCCACATCTTCTATCTTATCTTGTATTGTTCACGTATTACATTCCCCTTTTGTTTATGGACATGCAGTCTATTTTGAAGCCTTCTCTGTATGTGTTTAATTGAGTCTCTAGTTCTATATTTTTGTCTTTAGTTTCTTTTTTACATCACCCTTATTTTAATTCCGAGGGCGGAATTTGTTTTAAGGAGGGTAGGATGTAAGGACCGTGATTTTCAATTTTGATTTAAATAAATTTTTCTAATATTTTAAATATTAAATATTATATTTCTAAAAGAGTATTTTTATTTCCCCTAATTTTCTAGAATTTTCTATGATAAAAAAAATTCAATTTTTATATTTATTTAATAATTTTGCTAATTGTAAATTAAATTATTACGGTGAAAACTTTTTAAATTAATATTGGTTATTTATCATTGTTATTATTATTATTGTTGTTATTAATTATCTGTATTATTTTTAGCCTCAACCCTTATCACCTATCGCTATATATAGCTGTCAACTGATTAGCATAGCAGTCAATCTGTTATCTGGTTTTTCCCCTGGTTTCCTCAATCTCAGAGCTACTCTCTCTCCTCATCAACAACCCTTTCTCTCTCACTCTCTCTCCCCTACCCCACCCCCTAAAACCCTCCCCAATTCACGCAAACACTCCCACCTCGTGCCTCCCCCACTCCTCCTCAAAAGTCCCCCTCTCTCACCCTCACTCACACATCCTCTCTCTTTCTCTCTCTCTCTTCAACTCTTCTCTCTCTCTCCTCCATTTTCCAAAATCTTCACTCAGCTCTAACTCTCTCTCTCTCTCTCTGTCATCTCATTCTTCATCTCTCACTCATCACATCAGCACTCTCTCTCCTCTATTATTCTCCTCTCATCTCTCCAACTCACACCTCACCTCCCTCTCCTATAAATTCTCTCTCTCTCTCTCTCTCTCCTCTCATGTTCTCTCCCTTCGCAACCATCCCCTCTCGTTCTCTCTCCCCTCTCCAACTCTCTCTCTCTCTCTTCAACTCATCTTTCCATCACCACCCTCCACCAACTCGCCACCTTCACCCTCCAACTCAGCTTCGCCCCGTGCTCCGCTGCACCAAACTCTGACCCTCTTCATCCCTGAACTCCACCCCGAACTCCTTGCAACCACCTCCTTGAGCTCCGACGAGCTTCGACACCCTCACCGCCCTCAGCGCCTCCTCCGCTCGATGCCCAGCTACGCCGCTTGCACCTCCACTCGAACCGCACGAGCATCGCCGAACCCCCGTCCACCCTAACCGTTCGCCACCCTTAATCGTAGTTTCCCTCCCGCCCTGACGCAGTCAGCTCGCCCAACTCCTCTCGCTCAAGCGCCTTGCTCGATCCCCTGACCCGCCGCCAACCTCCTCTCGCTGATCCCTACGACCACTCGCCCTCGCCCTAACCTCCTGCCCATGCCATCTTCCACCTGAGCTGGCGTCCGCCGCATCTCATGCCTCGCTGGCTCGCTTCACCAACGTGTGGCGCCGTCGAACTATAGTCCCCCTCCTCCTTCTGACGTCCCAGAACCACTTGTGGCCATCCCTCTGCCTGCCTCTTCCTCCCTCTAGCCCCATCAGACACCGTGCGCAGAGCTCATTGCAAGATCGTCCAGCCCATGCCCACCGTCGAGCCCCTCCTTCACCTTCACCCCACTGTGACCACTCCCCTCGCCACCTCCATCCGTTCGCCCGCCGAGCCGCGGACAGCCCCCACGACACAGCACCGATAGCCCCAGTACCCTCTCTCATCCTTCGCGCAGCCGCTTACCTCATCCTATTCCGCTCATGCCGGCCTCCACTGCTGACCTCACGCCCTACCACCCGACGTAGCCACCCCTCGTTGCCATGCTTATATCGCCACATCGACCTGCTGCACACGTCGCCAAAACAACGAATAGTTTTTAGCAACGCTGTGTCGACTTCGTACGTATTTTTCGGCCATCTCTGACCTCTACTCTGTCGATTCCGTCGCCGGTGCGTAGCCCTTCGTGTTGTCTATTACACGGTATATTCCTTTCACTTGGGCTCTTTATCTACACCTCATTATATCAATTTGAATATCGCATGTTGTATTAACACTCTAATTTATAATTT